ATTGTACGTGTTACTTCTCTTTAGATCCCATATTACAATAATAGTAATCTGGTAGATCCCATTAATTAGAAGCCTCGTTATGAGCCCTTTAACGTAGATAGTATTAAGAGAAATGATGGAACAAGTCTATTTACGAGCCTACTTACGTTCTTAACTCGAGTAATGATATTTTCGACGTCGTTGCGCTCGAAAAGCTCGAACTCTGCTCCTTTGGATAGAAGCAGGAGTAAGATGCACGAGGTTAACCGAGAAAAGTGGAGAAAGCAACTGGGTATCTGTAGTCTCGACGGAGAGAAACGTCCGCGAAGAAGCGTGTCACTAAAACTTTATAAGCAAGCCGGTTGGGAAATCCAGACAGACAGCGAGGGGCGTTGAAAAGAGGTCGCGGCACGGTAGATTTTACCTAAGAGAAAAGCCAGGAGATGAAAACGGTTATTCCAGCAGTTTTCTGATAAGAACAACGGTAAGCATAAAGGCTCAATGCGAAAGCAGACACTCTCTTACGAGATTCGACTGATTTTAATAACATTAAAAGGATTTTTTTTGCGCGGCGTATCAGTGGGGATTATTCCGTATACTATTACTTGCGAGACAATATCTCCAGCGAATATCTGTAAATTATTGATCGTGGCGCCAGCTTTTAAATCGACCATTTATTTGCCGTCCCACACGCTGGTATCGCGCGTCTGACAGCTTCTGTTACGGAAGTTGCATAATCTTTGGCCTCACTATAGCCGGCGCGTTACTCAGCTAGAAGCCTGCCACAACGAGACCTATTCTACTTGACGTCCGACGTTGATTGCCGTCGTGGTTGTCACTCATTGTCAGATTACAGCTACGTCTCTACTCGCTTTCAGCGGCGGCATTCCGTCAGTTTCTTGCGATATTATCTATATACCAAATGAATTTACATCGTTCCCTTTTTTATAAGTAATAATTTAATAGATGTCATAAAAAAATAATGCAACGAAGATATTTTCCTAACGTAAATATATTCTGCTAAAACGTACGTTTTCATGCTTTTCAACATTCAGAAGATTTTTTTTTTCTCAACTTTTGGAAACGATTCCTTTGACTAAAATGTACACAGCGATAGTTTTTTACTTTATAGGTAATGAAAGAGAGTCAAAGGATTTCACGGTACGAGAACGAAATTTTATACTTCGTTTAATTTTAAACCAGTTCTAATTCTTTAATTAATTTTGAGTTTCCAAGATTAGTCGCAAAAATATTTACAATCAAATGTGGAAAAATTGCGCGGAAGACGCGATTAAAGCGTCTATATATAAAAAGCGCGTTTAATGAGATATAATTCTCTCTGAAATTCTTAGAGATATGCTCAACTGAAAGAATCAGACAACGCATGCTTAATAACAAAAAAATGTATAGTTAATGATAGCATAACTTTTTTATAGTCAATTAATGCGAAGTGATTTGGGCGATTTATCGTTCGCAAACAAGTCGTATGAATGCGAGCGTTGTGTGATAAATCCAACGTGATTAAGTTACCAACGACGAGATTTATGTGGAGAAACATAACGCAATGTGCGGATGGACGAACGGCACATAAATGCCGTAAATTTATCGAGGTAAATGTAAATATTATGAATCTTGCTAGTGCATTGCTGCGTGAGATCTGTCGTGATGCTCGCATTTCCTGTTTTTTATGAACACTCAGATTTTTATGACATTACAATGTATTTTAATAAAGATAATTTCCTTGAAAACTGTATTAAAAATAGCGAGATTAACAACGTACTTTCAACGCTTGAAGAGATTCGAATATAGCTTAATATATATAACATATATATAGCTTAACATATATAATAGACCGCGCGTTATATTTTGCCAACAAAATGAATTTCTCTTGAAGAAGAAACGTCGTCTTTTTTTGAAACTGAATCACCCTCGATGTATTATAAGTTTAAAAACCACGTTTCTACGAAACGTTGAATTATTGTATGTACGTAATCAATATTCTAATTATATTATACCATTTAATTTCGTTAATTTACACAAGACTTTTCCTTATTTGGTTTCTCAGTTTACATTCCTGAATTCATTTTATCGTGTATAGTCGTTACCGTTCGCGCGCATGTTTCCGTCGTTATAATTAAAATATTTCAACTTCGCACCTAAAACCTTTAAAACTTTTCAGCTTTATTTCAAGTTGCCACATTACGATATGGTGCGCTATATAGCGTAAAGTACTCGCGAGGAACAATTGGCACGCGATGTCCTGCAATTAACACACATTCAAGAGACAAGATTTCGCACTTTAACAAATTCTTGTAATAACTTCCGAGTTGCAATTTTAGCAATTTATGTAATTTTAAAGAGAGTAGGAATAAAATATATATTAATTGTTGGAATAATTAATTTATTTTACTGTATACACAATTGATTTACAATTTTTCTTTCGCAATGGACAGAAATTTAAATAAGTAATTGATGATTTTAGCCAACGACAAATAAATTTTTATTTATCATGAATGGTTAGAAAAACATGAAAATATTCATTATTCGACTATTTTTGTTAGTTTTAAATAAATAAATACGTTCATCATATAGAATTTGATAGTCCTATTTTTAATCGCGCTCTTTTCTGATTAAATTAAAAGACAGTGATTAAGGTCTTTTTTTCTTTGGTCATAAGATTTTTTTCGCGTGCATTTTTATGGTTTTTCAATATAAATCCACGACAATCGGTTGCTCAACAAGATTGTTTTAAATTAATGAAATTCCAGGCAGTGGATAAGAGAGACAAACTAGCTGAAACGAAACTGAGAAGAGAAGAGGGCAATCTCGGCCAAACTGCAGCAGGTTCTCCAATATTTCATTAAAATTATTTGGAAAACCTGCAATAAAAAAGTCGATCACGGCTGCTCGGTACGAAGCCCGCTTTTATCGATAAATTGGCGCTCGTTTTACTTCCTTCTTGCTTGCGCGCTTTCTCTTTTATTTTTTCGTAGCACTCTCTCCAATTCGTGATAGCTTTCAGCTTGTTCCCGATGTATAACTACCACTCGCTATATTTTTAAATTGCGTGATTTAATTCCTTTAATATTCAAAATGACAAATGTGGAAATGATGAATAATAAAAATTTATTTTTACATACTTCTCGTTTTAATTTTCCAACAAATGTTACAAAAAGACTTTATAATTTTATGAAGTAATTCAATTTATGAGAAACGATACGGAAATTACATTTTCCAGTTAACTCATCCGTGATTAATAACAGTCCGAATCTTGATAAATTGGCCTATTCTAAAACTTCCTAGGTATTCACGTCGTCATTCACAGTCACGTAGGAAAAACTCATGAAAAATTCAGGTCTCTTCTTTATTAAATAGAGACTCGGGACAGAAAGGGTTTAACGTAGCGACTTCTTTTCTCTTAATCCCGTTCGCGGGAATAGGAAAAGTAGCTCTGTCGGTGAGACTGGTCGAAGAGTCGGTCGCGTCGCGGCATTAATCAAGGCGGCTGCGAAATGGAGGAGAGGGGTGAAGTGAAGCGAACGGGGTGGCCTCGTGGCACCGGGGATGTCCTGCGGGAGAATTAAAAAGCAGGAAAAAGTTTGCTGGATCCCTCGTGCGCGTACAAGACTCGTTCGCATTCTGTACGAGACTTCTTCCACGCAATCGCTTCCAGCAAATCCTTTTTATGCAAATTCGCGCGCGTGTCCTTCTTCTCGAGTAGAGCAGTCCTTCACGTTTTTCTGCAACAGCATCATCAATCGTCCACCTCGATCGCCAGGACTGCCCTCCTCGAGATTCTTTACAGCGTTTGCCACCGAGCTTACTCGTTTTGCATTAAAGTTAATAAAGCAGCTACTTGAGCACGCTTAACTTCGTTATTTCGTTCGAGCAATTTTTTCTCAAGTGGACGAGACAAAACAACGACGACAATGACGATTATACTGCTCTTTGATGTAATTATTGTGGGATTGTGGAAATAAAAGTGAGAAGTGGACAACCTTTTACGTGGCTATTTCATTTTCCAAGGGGATGTCTTTTTTGTTGTTACATTACGAGCAATGTAGAGATATCCGTGCTGTCTCGGTAGTTTTCCCAAAGGTATCCCTTGTTTCGTAACATTTTTCCGTGAATTCACTATCGAATCGTGCGATTTATACTTGGTATTAGTGTACCTTCGCAAAATAACGAATTCGGTATGTTACTTGCGCAAACACGACAATAATTTACGATAATGCAAATTTAAATTTATGCAGAAGTTGCAGATCAATATTTTTTTTGTAACATCGAAATAAACATTTTATATTAACAATAATAGATATATAAATATAATACTAAAATTATAATTTCCCCATTAAATGTCTTTATCAATCTGTACTCTCAAATCTTCAATGCGTAAAAATTTTTAAATTACTAATGAAAAAAGTGCAATTCTATAAACATTATGTTTCAATACCAAATTCTCTCTCTAAAATGCCATAATATTAAATTTTTTCATGCTGATATTTTAATGAATGTGTTATATATGTATGAATCAATTATGTGGAAAAGTTACGTAAATTAAATTTATTTTTTCATAGAGAAATACAAAGTCGTTAACAAACTTTACAAAGTTTACAAGGTTCACAAAAGCATACACTGAGAAAAAAATGTTTTGTATTTGTAACTATAATTACATATTGCTATAATTATGATTATTATAGCAGTAATAATTATAATTATGGTAATATAGTTACAAATACCAAACATTTTTTTCTCAATATATAAAAACTTTTTCTAGGATAATTTTCAACATTGCTTATTCAAAATTTATAAATTAGTGTTTTAATTTGTCTTTCAAATTTAGAGCTAAACTCGCTAATACATGTGTATTTATAATTACAATGAGACTTACAAAAATTTATACTTCCTTAAACTAACTCTTTAACTGTAAAAATTTATTTTTTATTTGATATCATTTGTTAGTTTTATACCTTTTCCAAGATAACTTATTCATATGAAATCATATAAATGTTTTTACGTACCAAAGAGACGTGTAGCTTCCTATTCAGCCCAATTTGATGGACGATCGATCTCCGATTCTTTCGTCTGAAAAGTGAACGATGACAAATCAGTTTTGCATCGCATTTCGCTGTTCTGTGACATGCAAATTTATCGGAAAGATCTGTCGAAAGAATCAAACGTCAGTGCGTAACGCGATTTACTATTGTTACTATTCTACAAATCTTTTCTTCACTCGTCTCCGCCAATCTAAATACAGACCTTTATATTTAAAGTGTTGATTTTACGACAGATCTTTCAATAGTAACCCTTTGCTCGCTCTTTTCTCGCAAGATGGTTTGCGAGAATTACTTGGAAAGAGAAAGGTATCGAATTGCGACTAACGCAAATCGTTTTCATAAGTTCCGTAAAGTCAAGGCGCTCGAGAAGATTGAGGCGGTGCGCAACAGTGCTTACATATTGAGAACTCTCCACGGATGGGAGAGAATCTTGTATCTCCCTTGTAGCTATGAATAATTATTCCACGATACATGATCCACTGCAGCATAACGTAACATAGTAAATACCTGGAAACTCTTTGGGGGGATGCACGTAAGGTAAGCAATATGCACAAGATAACTCGATTAATGTTTGCGCTATGCGTAATATAAGATCGTAACAGAGCGTAACATTCTCTTTTCTAAATTCTGATTCGAAAGCTTTTATTATAGTTTCGTAGTCATTAGATCAAGATATCAGTACGATCCTACTTGAATGGGATCTCCATCGTGAAATTCTATGAAAAGCGCCCGTTCTAAAGTTGATATGTTCTTATGCATTCTGCATTTAAATGAAAATAGAAGGATCGCATCAGAATCCCTTTATCAGAATCAGTATTGAATACACTCACCATTTCCATTCCGGTCATTTCATAAAGATTTCATTATAGATGATATCGCAAACATTGGTCTGGGATCATCGGCTTTTCTTGTAATCAATATTTATGACAAAACGTAAACTTCTTCTTTGATGAGTGAGATATTGAACTTTTGCTTTCATTGCATAATTTATAACTTACGACTTTACGCGATTTATCTTAGTTTCTCAATCTTTTGAAGATTGAAGGTGAGTATATAGTAGTTATTAACTGTTGAAGCGTCCAGTTTCTCGATCGATGCAATAATTATTTCTAAGAAATAAACTTTTGACATATCAAAGAACTTTTTATCAAGTGATCTACTTTTAAATCTAAAATAGAACATTCTTCGTTAAATATTCTTTAAATGTATAATAATATGGGAAGATTAAATTAAAAAATCAAAGTTCGATTCTTCCAAAATAAAACGTAATTTAAGGGTCGAAATGAACACCAAAGGATGTTGGTCTAATAGTTTATTCATTCAAATAAGAGAGATAATAACGTGGTACGTTACGACTATATTCAGTCTTTACCAGCTAAAATGAATAATTAAAATATTGCATAAAAAATGATACAATGAGTAGGAAGATTAATATAAATGCTAATTTTTTTTGTAATATATGTATAGGAATAAAAAAATAAGGATTTATTAAACATAAAGATATATGTACATATATATATATATATATATATATATATATATATATATATATATGTTTTGATAAAATCGTTCGTGGGTGAAATTCTATTATAAGGTCTCTAAAATAACATAAACTTGAAAATAGAAGTAGACTTCAAATTAAAAATAAAAGGATATATTTCAAAGCTATTAGATAATCTACAGTGTAAAGGATATCGCGATGGTTCTGAGGGCACCTTATGTATCTCACAAACATTTTCTTCTATATCTTCTATCAGCTCTTTTACCGAGGCCATCTTATCGTTGGTGTGCCCACGCGGCGTGTCTTTCTCTTAGATAAATTCCCTGGCACGTTTGTCGAGAAATCGTCCCTGAGGTAGAGTAATTCATCGTCTCTCTCGCAAGTAGGTAGATACGTTCGATTCGACGGGAAAGCTTTAAAATTCGATCGAGCCAACCGCACTTTCCTACGAGCGCATATTCCTCGGAGGTGATGCACACAGTATGGCCGACGCGGATGGAACGGACAAATGCATTCAACGCGTCGAAAAAAAATAGGAGAAGAGTAGCCATTAGTAAAAATGGATCAGTGATGTAATTTTCTATTTCCGTCTCTGTTTCCTCTTCCGCTTTGTGATAGAAAAGAAAAGCAAAGAATAAAAACGAGGTAAATCGTGGCTTGTTAACCCGCATGGTTCGCGTTATTTTCAGAAAGAAAGAATCATGTTATGGAAGACGCCAGGTGCGGAATGACGTTCCACGACGTCTAAAACGTCCATTTTCCAACGTTATAGCGAAACGTCAAGATTTAATGTTGAACTTGTCGACGAAGAGGAGGAAGAATTACATGTGAAGAATTGATACCTCTCGAAATAGGGAAAAATTGCGAAAACGAATCGGAAAGAGAGACGTTGTAACCTGGTAGTACAATGACATCTGCTGAAAGAAACACCGCTCTCGGAAAAAGAAAATCGGCACGGAAGCGTAGATGATTTCCTCGCAGTCGTTTCAAAGAATCTAATGCGGTAAAAGAAACAAGCATCAGACGAAAAGAAACATCTAGGACACGTATCACGATGTCACATTATATATATATATATTTCCAATTTAAGATTGGAGTTTATTTAATACGATATCCGAGTTGACTGGCAAATGGCAAAAAACCGGGGAGGAAAGTATTTTTGTACATATAAGAAGTGGGTTTTACCCACGGTGGCAATATTGCTTTCTCATAAGAAAGGATACGATAAAGAACTGCGGGGAGAAGGCGAGTGCGCTGTGAAAGCGATGCTGTAAGCTGCTCGGATAATCCACCAAAACTTTATTATTACGCCGAAATTCTCCTGGACTCGATCGAGCGCATAATGCACGATACTATCCGGCGCGATTGAAAATATTAAAAGTCATTATGAAAGCCAACTTTCGCCGGAGCGTGTCTATCGCCTCTTTTAAGCGACTTTCCGTTTTTACCAAGGGAATTTTTAGCCTCTCGAGCTCGTGGTCCTCTCGGCAAGGAAAATTATATACCAATATTAATTCTAATTAATTTTAGTGCGCGACAGCGTGGCATGAGATTCTGCTAGGCAAACGCTACGTTGAAAGTTGGATCTTTAACGTATCATCGGGACGGAAAAAGCTAAATGTGTAAATGTAACGACACTCGAGGGAGCTATCGATCGAGCGATAGAATCGTCGGTTCTCTTTTTTTCTCTACCTATCTCTCCCGTTGCCAAAAACCCACATCATATAAGAGATTAGCATAAGAATGATAACATCATTCCAGAGATAAGCCTGCGAATGAAGTTGTAATGTTACGGTCACATCAGTTCGCCGTAAGTTGTTCGTAATTCAGTAGAATTTGCCGCTAAACCGAGCAAAAGGGTGAGGAGAATCCCTTACATGGGTAATAATTTCCGGATTTGCATGGATGTACGAGATACCACGCGTAAATCACACCACGCTCTAAATAAACGAACCGTTTCCACAATGAACTTGAGATTAATTTACTCGCACGCGTGGGAAAACAAGGAAACTATTGTCAACGTCACAATAAGAAAACGCAATTTAAAGCACGAAATAAACGAGGATGTCTAAATTCTGAGAATGGTCACGTATTTATATAAAGAAACAAACCTTTTCGTTTTCCATATTTATGGAAAGAAAAAGAAAGGGAGAGATAGAGAAGGAAAATTGAATGTGGAGTAGTCGGGACGAAATGAAGGAGAGCAAACGAATCGGAGAACTAGATAGTTATCCTAAAGTTGACTGTGTAATTACATAGGGACGAAAGATGGCGAACGCTGTATGGAATCTCTTGATAGATGTGCATGTAATATTTTGAGTGTACATAGCGCTTAAGTCAACACTAATCGCGAATGTGGAGCACGATATAGCTGATATTATAATACTTTCAGTGGGTACAAACACGCAGACTGTAATGTGGGAAACTAGCTCTCAAGTGGAATAATTCAGAATTTTTCCAATTCTACACATTGTTCCACATCGCCGAAGGAAAGTTAAACATAATACGTCGGTGTCCCACATTTGATATTATATTGCATTATATGTGGTAACTCAATAACCTTTTGAGATTATAAAATCACGAAAATATATGCGCGCAATTTATTTTACATCACGTAGCAGCAGAGTGCACTCCCAACTAATTCCAATCATATGCGAGTTAAAGTTCATTTAGCTTGGATTGAGGTAATAACGAAAGTGTATATTGAAAGTGAAGTTAAAATTCAGTTTGATAACCGGGTCAGAATAATTAGGTCGAGATCTCATAAGATTTATAGAAATTATTTAGTTGCAAAGAACAGCAGTAATATAACTGGCTTGAGACATAAAGATTTTTACATTTCGCGAGATCATTAAATCGCAATGTGATCCTATTTCATGGCGAATTTTCGTGCACTTACTTTATCCCTCAATTTAAGGGATAAAAATATTAGATTCTTTAGAGCTCTTCTTCTAGCTATTTCAGCATTTTTACTGCAGTCTATTTCAAAGATTTATGACATAATCGGTTAATAAATTGCATGAATTAATTTAATATCTCGGATCATACTGAGTTACATTTTGTGCGGAATAATAGAGGTATTATAAATGCTGTTATATTAAGAAAGAATTTAAGTTACTAGAAAGATATTATTACACGGTCGAGGATCGCGTTAAAAGAAAATTGAATTGAGTCCTGGGGTAATCAGCTTGCTCATTGATTATTTAACAAGATATTCCCTTAGCGTGCTTCGTAATCGAAAAACTGCACAGAGAGACCAGGAATTAAAAGCAACAAGTTCTTGAGCGACTAACTTGAGTGATTAAATTCGCGATTTAAACGTGAGCCAAGATATGGTTGTACAAACGAACAGGACTGTCGCTCTGATAAAAAGAAAAAAAACCTTATTATCTCTTTTGGAATGAATTCTCCGTATCTATTCGACATCCTCGTATGTCGCCATCCTTGAGATCTATCCGCGAAAACTGGGATTTATGCGCAACCATGTTTTAATAACCCGGCCAAGTTTTGATTGCTTTATTCTGTGA